TAGTGTCCAGTAAATATGAAAAATAATATTCCATTGAGATCAGTTGTACTTAAAGAATATTAAGTGTGTTTCACCTTTTAAGATGGGACTCCTTCCATCTCATTTCTATAGAATGAATTAATGGCTGAAGATCTTAAAGAATATTCCCTTAGCCATTGATTTGTTTATGGGGACAAATTTGCAACTTTTTCATTGCAAGATTGATGCTTGAAATCTGCAGTCTTGGATCTTCATCACCTGGGAGTTTAGCATGTGAGCTGCTCAATGGTGGGTCCTTAAAAATTGCAGATGCACAGTGGGAGTCCCTTCCTATACATTATATTAAATCATGAATGGTTAAGAAGTTCCTGCATTGTGTTTGTAGACTGCCCAACCTGGTTCCTTTAGTAAGTTCACAAGCAGAACTTAGAGAGTGATAGTTACCTTTCGTTATCACTCCCCAGCAACTGGTACTTAAGTCAGGCCACTTGTGATTTGGGGAGGGGGGTGATCTTTGAGTTTTGACACCCAGGGTTTGGATGGATAAATTTTCTTCACAGGATTTTCAGAAGTTTGCCATTGCTTCCTTCATAATACTGAGATAGCCAGCCCAAGATCATCCAGCTGTCTTTGTGCCTAAGGCAGGACTAGAACTTATGATCTCCCAGGTTCTACCTTAACCACTACATCAAACTGGCTCTGACAAGATTCAGGGGATAGTAAATTGATTCCATGACATATTTTCTTCTGAAAATGTATCTAGTCTCCTTTTCAAATTGTCTACATTTGCAGCCATCATCACATGGAATGGCAATAAGATTCATAGTTATACTATATGTTGTAATCATACTTTACTGAAGAAACCCATAATTGACTGGCTTAACACAACACACTAAGTCAAACCCACATGTTCTTGCTTAAGATATCTATTACTTTATCCCATCACATTAGTAATGAGGTCAGGCAGCAAACCAACAAGAAAAATAAATCCATTCTAAAATATGGTATCCTTAAAAGCACACTGAGCACCACTCAGAGATCTGGATTTCACTCCCAGAATTCTCAGCAATAGCTACCCTGTGTGGGAAATTTGAGAATTGAATGGAAAACTATGTGGATACAGGTAGCCTTTTTGTGATCAGTGTAGCAACAGGTATAGTGGAAATAGCTGGCATATTTGTTTTATGACCATTTTAAAGAATTTTTCCTATTTTGGACTTGATTTGGACTTGAATTTTAACATTTAAAATAAAAATAATCCAGTCCCATCCCGCCCATTAGTGAAAGGTTTTCAGAATTGTATGAGCATGGGCTCCACAATAAATTATGCAAGAATTTAACCAGCACTAAGTACTATGCATTCACATAATTTATGGTTTTGGATGGAACAAAGATACCTGAGTACAGTGTTCTCAACTTTACAACAAGTGATTCAGGCACCAAATCATTCATGTCATGGAGAACTTGGACAGGGTTACAGAAAAGATATATGCCAACATGGTACTAAATGCTACTCATGACTCATGCTCTGTTTATGGCTAATGTTGACAAGCAACCTTCTAAACTATCACAACACATGGGCTATAGTGTATAAATATATTGAGAAAGGGAAGCCATACTTGTGTCTCCAAGAAGGCTACACTATTTTGTCCCAGGATAGACAAGAGTTTTGTATCCACAATCTTAATGCCTCATTTTTCCCCCAATCACCAATTTATCAGATGACACACTCTTTTCTATTTATGTCATATTTGTGACAAAACAAGGCCCTACAATTTTTACATAAGAAAGGCTTCATTTGTGAGTTATGTGGCAAGGTAGATGAATGTCCTTCATATTTCCATCACAACTGGTTGTGTTGTTGTAAATACTTGCTTAAGCATTCAAATCTTGAGTGGGCAGATAAATACCAAAATTCCACCACTGAATTCATTTAAAACAGGAATATGCAATTAGAATATTTGCTTGTTATTTTGGTATGTTTTTACAACCACATTTTACTCATAATTTATTTACTGTCAGAACTTGATAGCGATATTTCCAAAGGGCTGCAAAACTTTGAGAATTATTTGCACATTGCACACTTGATCTACCTTTCACTTCCTCCTTCCTTTGAGGTACATTATTACAAAATTCCTGAATTCACATCTAAGAATAAGGGTTTTAACAGCAACTGCCTTAGTACTTAAAGCTGAAAAACCTGCATGGCTTTGAGCCAGACATTCTGTCATCCCTGTTCATAAGGTGGTAGCTGTAGAAACAATAGGCGGAGGGTCCAGGGTACTCAACACACAAGCTAGAACTTGTCGGTGTCAGCTGTCTTGTGACTCACTATAGGTAGTCCTTGTATTACGACCACAATTGAGTCCAAAATTTCTGGTGATAAGTGAGACATTTGATAAGTGAGTTTTGCCCTATTTTACTTCCTTTATTGGCCACAGTTGTGAATTCCTGCAGTTGATAAGTTAATAACCCACAATCTGGTTTCTACATTGACTTTGCAAAAGCTGATCACATGATTTTGGGACACAGCAGTGGCCGTAAATATGAACCATTTAACATTTGAATTTTGGTCATATGATCATGGAGATGCTGCAAAGGTCGTAATTGTGAAAAATGTTCATAAGTCACATCTTCAGTACTGTTGTAACTTTGAACAGTCACTAAATGAGCTGTTGTAAGTTGAGGACTACCTGTACATTATTCATTATGGGAGAAATTTATTTGGTACTCATCGCAAGTCCCGGGTCCAATTAACATTGAGTACCAAGGTACCGCTATATTGCGGTTTTTGAATTATCATCTATGGCTTAATCTTCTGTAAACCTAGCCAATTTTGATTTGAGTCAAAACCAAAGTTAAGCACATAGAAGGTGAACTCCTCTGAAATTTCCAGTTGATTTCTTCCATTTTCACTCCAATTCTCTGACAAAGGGCTTTGTTCCTATTACATTACATCAGCAGTACAATGCTTATTCCCAAGAATAACTCTTCCAAAGCTTGATTTAATTTTAATTCAAAATCCAAAGTAATTTAAATTAGCCCTACCTAACTTTTCTAGTATCCATATCAAAATAGCCAAACCTATATTGCACTTAAATTATTGAACCGTCTGGAGACCATTTACAGTTAATAGCTCCTCACAGCATACAATATTTGGAAAAAAAAAAAGCAACAACTTTTTAAATTAGTGAAATGCTGAGATCTATTAAGAAATGGAACAGCAGTTGGATGACCCTCCTCTAGGTTACATGTGGCCTTCAGAGCAGCCCCCCCCCCATTATCACCAAATGGAAAATTTAATGTAACAGAAAGGACTTTTTACAAAGACAGAGTGGCCTGCATTAATCATGTTTTTAAACTACATTAAATAATTTGTTTTCCTGAATGGTTTTGTTTTGTTTCCAAGTGCTTACTGGAATACACTGGGATCCTCCTCAAAAGCTAAATGTAGCCCTCAAATTTAAAAAGTTCATTTCTTGTGAATTATAACCCCATTTAATCTAAGCACTGTCTATTTTCCCGCCTTATACCTGGAACTTGATATCTTGAACTCCTTTTAATAGAAGATCAAAAGTAGAAGCTTCTTAGGCAGAAATGTTATCTTTTACCGAGAAACCTCTCTTCTTATGATTTAAATTTAGAGTTTTGTAGTGGCCCATACAAAATTAAAAGTCTCAAACAGTAAGTGTCAGAAATTGCTAAGATTTTATTACTCTGCCTTGTTGCTGATCAGTAAAAAGGAAGAACAGGCAGTTCCAGGAACAAAAGACTCATTTTTAGAAGATGCACAGTTGTTTTTATGTGCAGAACATCCAAATACTTTCCTTTGATTTTTTTTTAAAAAAATCTGCTGAAATACACTTTATTGTAACAATTATACATTAAGAAAAGGATTACATTTTTCCTGTGGTAAATGAATTTGTCTCTGATGTTTCTATAAAATCTCATTAACATTTTTAGATATTAATCATAATCCTGTTAGCATATTCTATCATTTGCAGTCATTGCATAATTGTTCTTTTCTTTAAAATAGATAAGTTTGCAAAAGATAAAAAAGCTTATTAATATACAAAGCTAAAAACAAAATTACAGCAGCTTTTTATTATAAGATCCCATATGCATCATCCTGAGTTAATTTAGGTTGCATAGGATCACTTGTTCTTTCCTAAGCTTTGGGAGGCCTATTCTTACTGCAAAAGAAAAAGAAAGAAAAAGAAAATATTAATTGCTTAAAATGAAATAGCTGCTACTCAGACTGGATTTCCATAGATCTGAAGAAAATTTTGAGCAGTGTGACAACCACTGTTGTTTGCTTTGTTAAAAAAATAGGTCTTTGACAGAACTCAAGTCAATGTTGATAACCAAGAAAGCTAAAACGATCCCCCCCAAAATTTAGGATGGATAGGAGAAATCACTAGAAGACAGCAAATAGCCTTACCGAAGTGTGGGAGTCCAGTGCGTCTCATTTTATGCCATGCTGACTGGGAATTATGGACACTGCAGTCATCATATCTGAAATCTACCAATTTGAGGAAGTTGGAGACAAAGCCTGAGAATTTTTTGTTTACCAAAATAAATCCTCTTTCTTAAATATTACTGCTGCAGAACATGGGGCCAAATCCTTTATGCAATCTCAGTGCTTGAGGAAAGTCCCACTGGCCCAGTAGTAATTATGTTTTTAAAGTGGTGTTTGTGGGACATGGGAGCAGGACCTGATGGTTGTCAATGAAGCCCAAATCCTGATTCTTTGTACAGGTAATCCTCGACTTATGATTGAGCCCAAACTTTCTGTTGTTAAATGAGACATTTGTTAAATAGGAGTTCTGCCCCATTTTAGACCTTTCTTGCCACAGATGTTAAGTGAATCACTGCAGTTGCTAAGTTAGTAACCTGGTTGTTAAGTGAATCCGGCTTACCCATTGACTTTGCTTATCAGAAGGGTACAAAAGGTGATCACATGATCCTGGGACACTACAACCGTCATAAATACGAGTCTGTTGCCAACCCTCTCAATTTTGATCATGTGACCATGGGGATGCAGCAACGGTCTTAAGTGTGAAAAATGGTTGTCAGTTACTTTTTTCAGTATTATAACTTGGAAGGGCCATTAAATGAACTGTTGTAAGTCGAGGACTACTTGTATGTGCTTGCAATGCTGACACCCATGCAAAATGGACAGGACTTTGATCGTGACCACCATCTTTTTTTTAACCTCGGTTACCATGTACATGACTCACGGTTGACAGGATCAGGTTTCATCTCCCCTTCCATAAGCACTACTCTTAGCCTTATTGTAAGCAACATGCTCAACACAATACAGATAAATAAGCTGGCATCCATGAATTGTGACCTTGCTGACAGGACTACTTTTTTTTTTAGCTTATTCTCCCTGAGGACTGAAACCATACAATTTTTATTTTAAAGATAATTTAAACCTGCTTACAATTGGTCAACAAAACAATTATGGAACACCGTCATCCTAGGTATTTGCTCTACTAAGAAAGGTGTTTCCCTCTTGCTAAGATGGACCATCCACCCTGGCAAATAAGCTCCTCATAAGGCTCTTAATTTATGTGTACGTTACATCACACGGTTCTTTCTTATGGCACCTAGAATTCAATTTCTCTCATCCTTTATTATTTCAACACTGATACCTTTTTGCATTGTAAAAAGTGGTGGCTGCATATCAATAAAAACACTACGAAGCAATGTCAAAAAGAAAAATGAGTGAACGAAGCAATGTCAAAAAGAAAAATGAGTGAAAGTAACATTGCTTCAACACACAACAGAAGTTTAAACAACGGGATGTCTTGGAAGGAAAATAAAAAAAAAACTTTTGCAAAAGTGGCAAATAGCTGTAGCTCTGGTGTAGGATGAGGGTGAAGGTTCGTTCTCCGAGCTTGTGGGTTGATTTCCAAATGTTTCGTTATCAGGAGAGGTAACATCTTCAGTGGAGTTTAGTTCCCCTAAACCCCAATGAAGATGTGACCTAGCCTGGTAACAAGCCATTTGGAAACCAACCCACAAGTTCAGAAAACGAACCTTCACCCTCCAAAAAACTTTTCCTATCTACTTGGACCCTTCAGAAAAGTGTTCCTCAATTTAGGAACTTGAAGATGTGTGGACTTCAACTCCCAGAATTCTCCAGTTTAATTTAATTGTGGGAATTGAAGTCCGTGCATCTTAAAGTTTCTGAGATTGAGAAAAACTGCTTCAGAAATAGGCAGTTGTGTGTATTGAGTCACCTGATGAAAAGTGAATGACTTCCATTTCAAAAATAAAACCCAATTTACAGATCGATGTCTGTATGCAAGCAAGCATGGCAGCGCAAATCATAGCTGTCAAAGAAACATAATTTTTGCAACCTGTAAAAAAGAAAAACCACCTTTGAGTGTGCTTATTTTTTTGGTATGGCTACACAAAGCCTGAACTGCGGTTTCTGCTGTTCCATGAGCAAGCTTTTAATCCCAGATGACCAGCAATGTAGCAAGAAACAACAGCTGAGATAAGGGAGTTTTTGGTGCTCCATGGTTCACTTGGGCACTTAATTTTTCTGGATTGTGTGGCATACTATGTCTTGCCAAAGTTCCCGAGGGCCCACCACACTGGAGAAGAGGAGACTGGTAGGATGTGGGCCGCTTACCGAGAGTGTTAGGACTTGACCCATCAGTTGGTCTCTCACCAATAAAGAGCAGGCTCCGGTCTTTTCCATCTCGTTCGAGGCGGAAGAGTTCATACTCGGTGTGGGGGAGCTTAATACCTAGAGCTGCACACCCATTCGTGTGAGTCACATCGAGCTCCTGCCCAATGTGCCAAGATCCAGCCTCTCCGCAACTCCCCAAATCAGAGGAGTTCAGCATGGACACGGTGACCTGATCCATAGGTGTCACCGAAGCATGGGTCACCTTGAAGATCAGCTCGGTGCCTCCTCTCACAATGACGGATGGTGCTCCCTCGTTGTAATGACCCAAGGCATAGACGGTGAAAGTTGGTTGCTTACAGAGAGGGTCAGAGTAGTGGTGATAGTAGCCTTCCCAGCTGCGGTTATTGGCATGGAAGATGAAGTATCTGGTAAGAAAAAGCACAGCTGGGCGTACTTCACAGCGAGAGCTGACCCAATGGCCGCTGAGCAACATAGGAAGCTCAGGTCTGGCTGGTAATACTGGCGGGTTATGTTCGTCAGCTCTGTATATAATCCCACAGGCAGGACAGGGATGAATGTGGTGCTGTGGAAGGAAATGACAGCAACATTTTAATTGCATTGTTAATATTTCCTATCATGGAGAACACGTTTCAGTAGCAAAGATGAGCTTCTGTTTTAAAGACAAATTTGAAGCAACAAAGGGCTTTCTAACTGTTGATGAACTGGGGTGTCCACATGGTATGTGTCAGAAAAGATGGTCGCTGTGATGGGCAATTGAAGTGCTTCTTGTGCTTTATTAAGTGAAGCAGAGATGGAGCTTTGATCACACCTGCAGATACCCTGTGCTAAACTGTAATTCACAACAGCCTTTTCCACAATGGTCAATGGTGAGGGATGCTGGGAGATTTCGTTTAACATAGTTGAACGCCAAAAAAATCTATAAAGTATGAAATATTAATGGAGCTTGATTTCAACTATAGGAAATTAAACCCCCAGATAGGCCAAAACACTCTTCACTTCCCTAATTCCAGTAGATAATTTGTATTAATATTTAGCACTGTTTATTATGACTACCCTCAAAATAAAACATTTCTTGACTGTTCTGAACCCAAAGAACTAAATTGCTCAAGGTTTACTGAACTTTGTGGGAAGAAGTTTATAACACAGACATGCTGAATGTTGATGTCCTGAATTTGTTAAGCTAATAAAAGTAATAAAATGACATTGGTTGTAATACAGTAGAAATCAGAGCATCTGAATACCATCCACTTCAAGACTATCACTGTCTTAATGGACAGAGTAATATGATGCCAGCATATTGAAATGTTGACCTTTGTGTGCTGAATTACAACTTTCCTATTTCCAAATCAGCCCAAGTAAATGATAATTGTTGTAGTGAAACACATCTACAAAACACCAGCTGGGAAGCCTGATTTAGAAGTCATTTATTTATTTGTTTTAATTCACAACAAGGGAGGGTGTTTTTCTAACCATGCTGGTCTGGGGAATTATAGCTAACTATGTATGAAGTCCCTCAAATGGTTTCTGATCAACATTTGAAGTTAACTCCTGTTCTAATTATCATAGTGGGCACCAAAGGATTTATGGCGAATGATGTCTGTTTTTATAAGCTATGAGCTGTTCTATATGGTTAATTTTGGGAGACACCAGCCTTGTTTGTATGGGAAGGAGATTTAAGTAATGCTGTAGTTAGCTCAGCACCAGGGCAATTTGACATGTTGACTGAAATCTACTGTAATTCAACCATTTTTAACCACCTTATTGCAACTGTCACTCTAAGGAGCATTGATGCTACACAGTCTGTAATAACTAAATAGCCCAGTAGTTACTGAAATATGTATGTTCTCTTTTAAAACAGGAAATACTTTAATAATGGAAGATAATTTCCCCAAAATGGGAGGGTTTTTTTTTGTTAAAATAAGCACAGATTTGGGAAAAATCAAAGAGCTATTTTGTACAGAAGCAATTTGGGGTTGGATCTGTCTATCTGTGATGATGTGGAGTTTGATTGATTGATTGATTGATTTGATTGATTGATTGATTGATTGATAAGAGAAATAACAGTCCCGGAGAAGTTTCTGCTAACAACTAGTATAGTGGAAAGCAATTGATTTTCCTCCAGGTTGTAGGAATGCTCCATTTCAACAAAGTTTGAAGAAAACATAGAATGAGAATATTAAACTCTTATGACTATCTCAGTAGAAATAACCTACTACTGAGAAGTCCATCACTAGATTCATGCTTTATATCAGGCGTCTTCAAACTTGGCCCTTTTATGACTTGTGGACTTCAACTCCCAGAATCCCTCAGCCAGCATGCCTGGCTGAGGAATTCTGGGAGTTGAAGTCCACAAGTCATAAAAGGGCCAAGTTTGAAGACCCCTGCTTTATATTAAACCACTAAGCCAGCTGGGTGATCTTGGGCCAGTCACTCTCTCTCAGCCCAATTCACCTCACCTTGCTGTTGTGGGGAAAATAGGAGAAAGGTTACTGGATATGTTCACTGTCTTGAGTTGTTTACAAAAATAATAAATGCGGGATATAAATAAAAACAAATAAATAATCCTAACCCTAAATGGCCAAGTGCACACAACATCCTAAAATAAATCCACATGAAATACAAGATAACTTAGCAACCAGCCTATGCATTTGTGTGCTTGGAATACAGGTAGTCCTTGACCTATGGCCACAACTGAGCCCAAAATTTCTGATGCCAAGTGAAACAGTTGTTAAGTGAGTTTGCCCCATTTGATGACCTTTCTTGCCACAGTTGTTAAGTGAATCACTGCAATGGTTAAGTTAGTAATGTGGCTGTAAAGTGAACCTGGCTTCCCCATTGACTTTGCTTATCAGAAGATCGCAAAAGGGGATCACATGATCCCAGGGACACAGCAACCATCTTAAATATATGCCAGTTGTCTAGTGCCACAATTTTGATCCCCTGCGACTATGGGGATGCTGCAACAGTCGTAAGTGGGAAAAACGGTCATAAGTTACTTTTTTCACTACCGTTGTGACTTTGAACAGTCACTAAATGAACTGCTGTAAGTCAAGGACTACCTGTATTTGTTTTGCTCAGTAGCTCTTTTCAAGGTTCTTCTCAAAAGTCTTACAGCAACTAAGATTATGCAGGGGTCCCTACAATTATGTTTTTCCCAGAGCTGCTCTCTAACACCACTGAAAACTATGGGTGCCTGGAACAGAAGCCAAGATCTTTTGCACAAGAAGTATGAAATTCTTCTGTTAGAAGAATCTGCTAGAAATTCTGTTTATATAAAGCACCACCCAGAGCAAACAAAGAGTACAGTCACCATTTACTGCTCAACTATATAACTGTAACAGGAAAAAGGAAATTAGAACAAAAGAGCATAGAATATATACCATAGATCCTCTTTTAGAACGGATCTGCCTCGTTTTTTTCAACAGTTCCTTTCTTTTGGCCTTCTCCAGAACCTGCCTCAAGTTCTCTTCTTGATTTGCCTATGTATGCAATTTCATAAGGAATGGCTTCAAGGATCCTCTAGGGCAGTGATGGCGAACCTTTTAGAGATCAAGTGCCCAAAAACCAGCCCCCTGCCCACTACCATTCCACCCCAGCCCACCACTGCCCTGCCCGCAGGGCTCTCACTGCCTCCATGGCGCGCAGCAGGTCACCCAGGTGGCCCAGCAGCGCCATGGTGGCCACGCCCTCCGCCTGCACCCTGCAGTATCAACCATGCGACAGGGCACAAGGGCAGAGTCTTGTCCCCGCTGCCTGGCTGCCATGTCCTTGGCTGCGCTGCTCCACGCAGGCTGCACTCAGGGGTGACTCTCCTTGGGAGGGCTGCTGGTTAGGAGGGGGCTGCAGGGGGGGGCTGGGGCGATGGCACATGTGCCCACAGAGAGGGCTCTGAGTGCCGCCTCTGGCATATGTGCCATAGGTTCACCACCACTGCTCTAGGGCAGAGGTCCCCAACCTTTTGGGCATCAGGGACCAGTTACATGGACAGTTTTTTCCGTGGACAGAGAGGGTGTGGTTTTCTGTGCTGCCTGCATCCCGCAGACGGGGCTTTGCTTGTTTGTGCGGCCCAGTTGCTGGCATGCCGCAGCCCGGTACCGGTCCACAGACCAGCGGTTAGGAACCCTTGCTCTAGGGGTCCACAAAATATAAATTATTTGCCAGGTATTGAAGCTTTTTGCAAATATTTAAAACAATATGCTCATTTTTTCTTTGTTAAAAAATTACAGGGCTTTTTCATGGAAAATGTTTTATTTATATTAATATTTAATGTTTAATATTTATAATTTTGCAAGATTCAATAAATAAATATTATTATTTCTTATTTTTACTGCACCAAAGATAGTCAGAAGTCAATATCTTTTCTTTTTCCCTTCTTCTCTACACTTTTCTCTTTCCTTTTCCCTCTGCTATTTTTCCTATTTTTTACTTTAGTATTTTTGTATTTTATATTATAAATCAGGGGTGTCAAACTCAATTTCACTGAGGGCTGCATCAGCATTGTGGTTGCCCTCAGGGGGCCGGGTGGGTGTGGCCAGGGTGGGTGCAGCCTACTGGGTGTGGCCTACTGGGTAGGCGTGGCCAGCTCTACATCGTTCACATCAAGGGGGCCTGTGGGGGCCTGGGTAGGAGTGGGACAGATCTGAGGGTCTCTGGCAGAAGGGGGTGGGACTGGGGCAAGTGCCAAGGCATGGTCCACTGGAGGAGCCTCACTGTTCCTCTCAAGCCATGCAGGGGAGGGCTTATGGAGCTAAGATTGAATGCATTTCAGCATAGATGGCCACCACAAAATTGTACATTAACTCCCTCCCGGCCCCACCTCGGCCAAGGCAGCAGGGGCCGTTACCTCACTGTTTCATGTGGCTTCGCAGGCCACATGAAACCACTTCGCAGGCCGCATCCGGCCCCCAGGCCTTATGTTTGACATCTCTGCTATAAACTAATAAAAAGGTTTGACATGGGAAAATAAATAAATAAATATTCTAAGAATTAGTCCTTTTTAATCTGGTAAAAATTGATAAATATAACCAACATAAACGAAAGCTCTTTTGTAGTCTTTTGGCAAAGGGTTCAGGGAGCAAAAACTTTAAGAAACACTGGTTTAGAGTACTTCTAAGCCTTAGCTGGAGTTTTACTATCCTAAGGTAGGGTTACCTATCACTTCAGAACAGATGAAACTTGCAAAGCCTTGCTTGCAGTCAAAAATCTCTCTCTTTCACTTAAACAAAGCTCTTTGGACTTAAATGGACAGCATTTAATCCTCTTCAAGCAGTGATATTGTGGATGGAAAATATGAAATGTAGAACTGTTAGCTGATTATCCAAAGTACTGCAACGAAGTCTGCATTTCAGCACACCTTACACTGGTTTTAAATTCATTTTACAAAGCATTCCTGTTTACCATCTGGTTTACCTCATGCCTCCATGGTTTTGGCCCAGGATAACTCTGCTTCAATGCCAGTATGAACATGTGTCTAGGAGGTTGGTTTGTTTGTGTGTTATTCTATCACCCCAGTTGTTGCAATATTAAATAGGTGGAAAATCCATTTTTTTTCCTTCTCTCCCTACGCTTTCCTTGTGTTCCCATCTGGTAATGCTCACAAGGGTTTTTCTGCTGAAGTGCAATGAACTTATCTTAAAGATCAATCATCTTTCTAAATTGATTAGTTATGATTTTGATAAAAATACACATTTTGGGAAGAAAACCAAGCTTCTGAGCAAAAACAAAGCAAAGAAAAAAAAAGGAACCAAGGCCAGCTGAGTAATCACATTTCAGCTACATTAAGAGTTGGGTTTCCAGGCCTGCTGTTAATTACGTTCAGGCTTATTTCCTCTAGTAATGACATTTTCCTAAAAAATAATGGTGTACTACATTTTCCTTGTTACTCTTTCTATCCTAGCCTCATTCTAGAACAGGGGTGTCAAACTGCTAGCCTGCGGGTCGGATGCATTATAGCAAAACCACGCCCACCCTATTGCTGGCAATGGCAAAAAAGTCACAATACGTTCCAACACATCATGTGATGTTGCGAATTTGACACCCCTGTTCTAGAAGAAGAGAGGATCAATCTATTCTCCAAAGCACCTGAAGGCAGGACAAGAAGCAATGGGTGGAAACTAATTAAGGAGAGAAACAATCTAGAACTAAGGAGAAATTTCCTGACAGAACAATTAAGCAATGGAACGACTTGCCTCCAGAAGTTGTGGGCGCTCCAACACTGGAGGCTTTTAAGAAGAGATTGGACAACCATTTGTCTGAAATGGTTCAGGGTTTCCTGACTGAACAGGGGGTTGGACTAGATGACCTCCATGGTCCCTTCCAACTCTATTATTCTGTTACTCTTTCTATGGACTTTTGGTGGGACCAAACAATAAAAGGCCAAGTTAATAATACTCCAATAGAAATTCCCTGAAAGCATAGATCTTACCATGACGTTTTGCAGTGGGCGCTGATATCCTGTAGGCCGATACTGAAGCCGCTCTGACCATTCAGTGTGAATGTCTCCAAGATACAACTCCTCAACCTCCCTGCTCCCCTGGTTGTGCTGAAGGAGCAAAGGCTGGTGGTACTTCTCCACTCGTACCAGGCTAAGCTCATGCATGGCAAAGCCAAGGCCAGGGGTGCAGTCCTCTTCCCCTTTAGCACTCAGAAGCTCATAGAGGGCATCAGGAGCCCAAGTCCGTCCAGCTGGCAAAAATCCACTGCAGCGCACTCCTGTTTGGTTGAGGCGGGCAACCATTTCCTGCATGGCCCTCTGGCTATAGAAGACAATGCCAACTTTATGAAGGTGATAATCTGCTTCTGTAGCCCCCAGGGTGATCCAGGATGCCTGCCGGAGCCTGATTCTCCCTTTAATGACCAGAGAGTAGGTGGGCTCTCTACAGGAAGGGTCACGGTAGTAAAACTGATAGGCTTTGAAGAGGCGGTTGGCAAAGAACATGTATGACCGAGTAAGGAATTCAGGTCCTGGGCGCACTTCACACCTGAAGGCAAGGGGAGGAAATTCCTGTTAAAGGTTGCCACAATGAAGGGAGGGGGGGATTCAACCTAGTCTCCAAAGCACCTGAAGGCAGGACAAGATGGATGGAAACTAATCAAGTAGAGAACCAGCCTAGAACTAAGGAGAAATTTTCCAACAGTTAGAACAATCAGTGTAATGACTTACCTCCAGAAATTGTGGGTGCTCCAACACTGGAGGTTTTAAAGAAGAGATTGGACAACCTTTTGTCTGAAATGGTATAGGGTTTCCTGATTGAGCAGGGGGTTGGACTAGAAGACCTCCAAGTTCCCTTCCAACTCTATTATTCTGTTAGTTGCCAAAAGTAGGTATGTGCCAACACTGTATTAGTAAACCTGTTAAATATCAAAGATGGCACAGTAGCTAAGCTGCTGGACAATTCAACAAAATTGTTAAGAGGATAAGTTTAGAGAGTTGAGTAGAACTTAGAAAAATATCTTCAGTTCCAGGAACAGTATGACAGCACCGATGGATTCCCAGAATTGCATCTGATTTCTTTTTTTTTAAAAAAAAGATTATTTTAATTTCAAATATTAACAGAAAGCAGGCATATGGAAAGGGCCTCTTCCAGCATATTTATTTACTAGAACACTTTTTGATCGAACAAAAGTCCACTGCAAAGGGAGAAAAGATTCTTGACATCTCATTTGCCTTTCGTGAATAGCCACAGTTACCAAGGCAGCCATTTTGTGAATTATTCAACTCTGTGGTGCTGTTTCCAAATCTCCTGTCCTGATAGAAACAAAACAAAGGAATAATTTATAGAACAAAATAAAGTCATTATTTGGAACAAGAATTTCATCACTGGGGAAATTCCAGAGCTATCAAAAGTCTGGCATTGTCCCATTTTTCTTATAAAAGGTCTGATCTGCCAAGTCTGCAGGGTTGGCTTAAGGAAAATACATGTGGCCCTCTGGATTGAAAGATGAGACAAATATATTCCATTTTACTAAAGACATTTTAAAAATGGGAAGGGTATGGATAGAGAAGCATCTGTGAGCTCCGATTTCCTACTTTATAAAGATGAATATCTTCTCAAACAAGACTGGACATTCTGAGAATCGCAGGCCATTGCATTTTGAGGGCTCAAATTTGGAGACCCCTACCTTATCAGTAGCGTTGAAGTACTATAACCTGGGGCTGTGCACTTAAGTAAATTCTTTTGTGTCTTCTTTTCCATGAGAAACATTAACAGTTCTGCACTAAGACAGGAAGGTCTATACCAGGGCTAGGCAACCTTGGCTCTTTTATGACTTGTGGACTTCAACTCCCAGAATTCCTGAGCCAGCATGGAATTGAAGTCCACGAGTCATAAAAAGAGCCAAGGTTGCCTACGCCTACCTACATACAAATGTATCAAGAAATGAATCCAAGAGGTGTCCAAGTAACTTTTAGAACTTTAGAACTTTTTGTAATTCAAAAATCTGCAGATGTATCTGAGCTTATACTTTTAAAACTTGGGATCCTAGGTAATGTCAAAAAAAGCAATTTCAAGTTTTATATATATATTTTTCTTACCTTCCCAACTGGAGGACTTTAAAGACACTGATTAGTACAGTGTCTGATTACTACAACTATATATTGGTTTTTAAAGTGCCATAAAAGACGCAATTGCAAGAGAGGAACAGGTTTACCCCCACCCCACCCCCAGGAAATAAGAAATACTTTCCATATTTTAACAGAAGCCCACCTTGACAATCAAATGCACTGAATATGTTACCCAGACATAAGTAGTCATGTTATCCTGCACCTCTGCATTTTGAGACAAAGTTCATACATACCCTGTTGAGATCCAATGACCTTCTAACCGTGGCGGTAAAACAGTTGAAATTCTCGCACCGTCCTGAAGGTGGCGCAAGTGGTACTGGCACTGCGGCTCCCATAGTACTTTTTCTGAGCTGAGCTGGCTGATGTGTGCTCTGGGGACATCCCATATTTTCTTTCCAGATGCAAAGGCTTGAAAGAAAAATTAGATTTTTTTTTTTTTTTTAGGATAGAGGTAGAGAACTCTCAGGAACAGTGTTTCAGTTCCTAAAAAAGAAGTAATAGCATTTGTTAATATCACTTTTCCTCTGCAATTATATGGAAGGTCACTGTGTTGTCCATTTTACTATTACGAAGAGAAGGTTAAGGTCAGAGGGTTGATTAGATAGGCAGATATAATAATAATAATAATAATAATAATAGTAATAATAGTAATAATAGTAATAATACAAAGATCTACAAATAGAAATAGAAAGACTGTGGCAAAAGCAAGCAAGGGTAGTACCAATAGTAATAGGCTCCTTGGGTGCAATCCCAAAACAACTGGAGCACCACTTGAACACCATTGGCATTGACAAATTCGCTATTAGTCAATTGCAAAAGGCGGCCTTACTAGGAACTGCTTCCATCCTGCGACGATACCTGTAATACCATCAAACATCCACATCTGCCTATCCCAGGTCCTGGGTAAGGACTCGATAGGTAGACAAAATGCCAAATCCAGTCTGAACATCTGGCTGACTGTGCAATGATCCAAAATAATAATAATAATAATAATAATAATAATAATAATAATAATAATAATAATAATAAAGTTGGAAGGTACCTTGGAGGTCATCTAGTCCAACCCCCTGCTCAGGCAGGAAACCCTATACCATTTTGGACAAATGGCTGTCCAGTCTCTTCATAAAAACTTCCAGTGTTGGAGCATTCACCGCTTCTGGAGGCAGGTTGTTCCACTGGTTAATTGTTCTGTCTAATTTGCTGTTATAGAAATGACTAGTTATATAATAGTGTGTAAAAACAAAAAATTGAGGCTAGAGTGCTTTTATTTTGAACTGTGCTAAGAAGAATTGGAAGTCAACACCTTTTTTTCTTTTCCCTTGTACCTCACACTTTCTCTTCCCCTGTCCTTTTCCCTCCCTTAATCTCCTATTTCTATTTTTCTTTATATTTTATATATTAAATAAAAAGAAAATTACAGACACTATTATGAAGAGAAGGAAAAATTAAGGCTTGTCTGTTAGAGAAATGAAATAGCAATAGGAATAGCTTTTAAAATGTCACAATTTAATAATAATAGTTCCAGAGCGCTAACAGAATTCAGTCTCTTCTGTCATGTATATATACAAGCATGCGTCATCAAAAAACAAAGCAAACTTTTATTGTTTTTCTTATTGTTTTACTTTTGCTTTTGAGCTACTGCTGTTAGGCATATGAAGATGCGACTGCATTATTTGCTGAGTTATTTATAAAAATAATAAAGAATGTTCTTTAAAAAATCTAAAATGCTGCATCATTTATTATCATGGTTTTGTAATATGAATATACATGAACTCTCCAGCATCTATTTGGATGGAAGTGATAAGTGAAATGAAACAAAATGAAATGAACAATAATAACAAGATCTTAAGTTTTATATTTGATTTGTATTTTTAGCAAGCCTCCTATGTAAACCATCACTTGCTGAAGAGTGAAGTGGAAAGTGAAAAAATTACATAAACAGACCTAGTACTGTCTGCAAGGCTACAATCAATCTCTCTTTTTTATAGTATTTTATCTCTGGAGGTCTAGCCAAGAGGCCCAAAATTAAGTCTGCTGACATCCGTTTCCAACTACCATGTTCTATTTACAGGAGGTAATTTTCTGGTGTTCTGGTTTTCAATAAGGAACATCCTGGCAAGATGTATTTAAATTTTTTTTTAATTTTAATTAAAGCATCAAAGGACCAGATCTGGCTTTCCATTTCTACTCTTTGGATAAAACCAGAGCAATGTTTAAAACAGCCTTTTTTCCCAACATAACACCCACTACATTTTTTTTTCTGTACAGGCCCTACACGTCATGACTCTGTTAGTGCCTGGGTCCAAGAAGGAGGAAAAGATGGAGCTAGGGCCGATGGAGGGGGATGGTGTGGTCCCTATGGCCCATGAGGAATGACCTGGAGACATGGACGAGGCAGTCCTGGGTCCCTCGGGCCTCCGAAGAGTAGACAGGGAGGAAGAGAGGGTGCAGACTGACCGAGGAAGGGGGCAGGAGATGGAAAGGGCAGGCAGAGGAGCGGCAGAGCTCCGGAGACGAGCTCAATCACCAAGCACGGAGAATGGAGAGGAGGCACAGTCAGTGTAGGGTGAACCGACTACTTGGGAGGAGGGCACCCCACCCCTCCTCATGAGGATCACCTGGAGATTTGCATTCAAGGAGATGCCATGAGGAAGGGCTTTTGACGGGAACAAGTGTTGCGAGACCGCCTACTACCTCATAGTTCCCTTCACCCGGTTAGATCCCACAGGCTGGGCCTCCTTCAGGTCCCGTCGGCCAAGCAGTGCCATTTGGCGGGGCCGCGGGGGAGGGCTTTCTCTGTGATGGCGCCCACGTCTTGGAATCAGCTCCCCCCGGAGATTAGGACCGCTCCCACCCTGTTGGTTTTCCGCAAGCTGCTTAAGACCTGGCTTTTCCGGCAGGCCTGGGGTTTATAAAATCTGACCCATGGATGAATGTTATTGTATTGTTTGTTTTGTTATGTTATGTTGTGTTTTTATTGTTAACCACCCGGAGTCCTGCGGGAGTGGGGCGGTCTATAAATTTTAATAAATAAAATAAAGTGTTGTATTTCACAGCAACACTCTCCCAAGTCTGGGAAGAACTTTGCTCCAGAATCCTTGCTACTGTTGATTCGTGTTTGATACTTTGCCTTGACGTCTGTGAGCTAATAGTGACGTGGCTCTATTCCAGATTTTGCTGTATTCCCAATGGATTCTCTGTGCCGTGAAGTTCCCAGTCATCTGTTGTGAATTTTGCTGAGGTTGAGATCCTGTCTTGCTTCTGGAGCCTTGCTGCTCCCTTGGACTTCCATTGCCGGGAAGTTGCACGGAGTGTGTATGCGCATGTGCTTGAGCCTTGCTCTTGAACTGTAGGTGTGAATTGGATGCAGAGACTTGGGAAGGGACCAGGAATTGCTGGGTTGTGGGGATTTGGGGGGATGGTGGTTGAATAAATGCTGACAAGTCTCCGCTTACGCACCAATCCCGGGTCATAACATAACACTTTTGGATGACACCAGCTGAGAACAGTTGTTTTCCTCTTTTAAAAATATTTACATGTAGTCCTCGCCTTAGAACTGTAATGGAGCCCAGAATTTCCATCCTACGTCTTGACAACCATAAGTTGAGATGTCCACATGACAGGACCCAGTTTTATAACTTTTTTTGCAGCAGTCATAAAGCTTATGTCATGGTTGTTAAGTGAACCCAGCAGCTATTAAGCAAATCAATGTATTCCTGTAGCTGGGGTTTTTTGTTTTGTTTTTTGCCAAAACATCATAAATTGTGTTCACATGACTGTGAAATTCTGCAACTGGCCATAAAGATGAGCTGGTTGTCAAGCACCGAAAATGCGACCATTTGACTGTGGGGGGGGGGGGAAGTGCATTGGAATTCCAAGTCATACATAGGGATTTGGGGGGGGGGTTCCTGTTATAACTTTGACTGGTTGCTAAAAGATTAAAAAGAGCCAAGTGAGTACGGTAACTTGTGGGAAATCTCATACGGAAGGAGTGTTTTATGAGTCACTTTAAACCTCAAGATGGGTGGCAAATAAATTTAATAATGTCTGAAATGGTATATAGTAGAGGTCCCCAACCTTTTGGGCACCAGAGACTGGTTCCATGGAGAGAGGTTTTTCCATGGACTGGAGAGTGCGTGGTTTTGTGTGCTGCCTGCATCCTGTGAATGGGGCTTTCCTTGTTTGTGTGGACCAGTTGCTGGCATGCTGCAGCCCAGTACTGGTCCACAGACCGGGGACCACTGGTATATAGGGTTCCCTGCTTGAGCACGGGGTTGGACTAGAAGACCTCCAAGGTCTCTTCCAACTGTTATTCTGATATCTTTTAGGACTTTGGTTAACAAAGCCAGTAACTGGAGATAGGTCCAGAAACAAACAAGAAATAATATCATAACTGGGATAATGTGTCTACCAAGCAATTGATCAAATATAGCTGCCACATTTGACTGGAACTGGAGTTTCAGTACATTTATCAAAATGCTCTGTATAGAGTTGTGTGTTTTCCTGTAATTAGGAAGAAAAATGATTAAGGACAAATCGATATAGCCAGATGTTTTCTTTTTCTTCAGTGTTAATAGCCAGGTGCAGCTGAATAAAGGCGCTTCTGGACAATAGCATCTCTTTTCCTTCTAGTTGGACTCTGAAATCTAAGACAGCCCCCCCCCCCCCAAGCTATACAACTGATCTTTCAGCAGGAAGGTAACACATGCACAACACTTGGTACTAAGGTTCATGGAATTCACCCAAGTAAATATCTTGCTCTTTAGGGTCTCTTTTACATCTCTGGTAAAAGATGCAATGCAGAGATCCCACGGAAGTCCACGAAAACTGGGATACATTTTCCAAAAATGAATCAAAGTTAGAGATGAAAGGATCAGAGCTTCACTGATTATAATTAGCAATTCCAGAAAAAAGCAAACATAAAGTAGTTGAAATTCCAGAATAGTTATGGATAGTTGTTGGAACAGTGTTTAAACACAATTTGTGCTCTAATATCCCAGCTTTTAGCTGGAAATTTAAACAAGACAAATACACATCTCAAATAAAAATAGATGTAAAAGAAGCTAAAATAACTTTTAAAAAAACTGCCTTATTGTGTTCGGCTCAATATTTTGTGTAAGAGCTCCCAAGCTTTTCATAATCCCTGTTTGATTAGCTGCAATTGTTGTCATCAATTCTGGTAATTTATACATGGTTCCTACAAAGCACCGGTACATTTGTAAAAATGATGGCAGCACAAACCACAGCACATAAGGAACCAAGATTTGGAATGAATAAGATCCTTTCTGGAGAGTAAGAATTGTTCTCTGAATATCTGAGGGAAATAAGCTAGTCTCCACCAGCAAGTAACAAAATGGTTCAATGAAAGA